GCTGCTTAGCCAAACTATCTTTGTTTTTTAACCCTTCTAAAAGTAATTAAGCTAGTCTGAGGTAAAGAACTAGGATTATCTTCTGTTGGCGATCGAGTTGCCTAAAGATTAATGGTCGAGGATGCCCACTTACACCTTTGGTGGTGCTGCTAATAAGTCATTTGCTGCCCTTCGGGTCAATCAGAGCAAATGAATTGGCAGCGCCTGGAGTTGAAGTTTCAATTTAATTTGCGGTCCGTTTGCACCGCTGTCCACTTTCCGGTTGCAGTGGCCGCCCAAGGGTTAAAGCCGGGTTTTATCCATCGAAAAGTGAGTGAGATGATGCGTGTGCGTGTGTGTGTGGGTGTGCTTGTGATACGCACACTAGCATATCGGCACACCAGCACATCCGCACTTCCGCTCGAAGCGGCAGCGTCAAAGGAAAAACCAACTAAACGCACCGCCGGCAGTGAAACGGAACGGAATGGAACGCCTCAGCGCCAGCGGAACGGAACGGACGAAGGGCGCGGGGAACGGAAGGAGCTGCCTTTCCGCGAAAAGCAAAACTATACACACTCGCAAGCGTACATATAGTCGTTGATATATATCGGGGGAAATAACTAAGCAGCGCGAAGTGAAAATCAATAAAACACAAAAAAAGCGGAAAAGAAAATAAGAAACAAGAAATAGAGAGACAGGAAAATGGGAAACCCGTGATGGAACGATTGAATGCGGCGCCGTAAAACCTTTTAGTTATATTAATTTCAAATCACACCCCGCTCGCGAAAGGCGTGAACCGAAAATGCCGTAAAAGTTTTATGATTTCCCCTCCGGGGCTTTCCTTCTTCTCCCGCCCCAATTCTCTTCTGTTGTGGCACAGTTTTTCCGGATGAGAATTTATAACAATTGCAGACCTTGAACCTGCCGCACTCGCATCCAATTGGATGGCCAAATTGATCTTGTCGCATAATTCTCAGCAAATTGCCACAGCGATTTGTCTTGTTGCCAATTAGCCGCCGTTTCCTGTCGTCGTTGGAGGTGCGGGGAAAAGCGGAGAGGGGAGGGGGGAGATAGAGAGGGTGGTGGAAAATGAGCTGGAGAGTGGGTGGGTAAAAGCCAGGGACACGGAAATTCCATGGCGATGGCGATTGCGATGCTGATGCTCGTGGGTCGCAGGCCAATGGCAATTGCTGTTGGCGTTTTTAATTAGAAAATGCGCAGTGTCTGGTTCAACCACCCACTCTATTCCACCTCCTCCCTCCCCCCTCCTCCCTTGCTGATCCTTCTCCTCCCCTTTCCCTTTTCCCACTCCCACACACACAACACACACACATTCTATTCACGGCGTCTGTCTCGCATTCGGTTTGGCAAGGTGTAAAAACTAATTACATTAAAACTGCCACGAATTCAATTGCATTGCTTGCAATTGCAATGTGCAAGTGCGATTGTGAATGCGAGAGTGCAAATGTTGGTGTGAGTGTGGGTGTGAGTGTAGGTGTGAATGTGCATGTGCATGTTCTTGTGTCTGTCAGCGTATCTGTGTGAGTGAGAGCGTCCAAATGTGTTGCATACTTTTTTCGGGCATGGCCTTAATCAATGCAGAATGCCTGCCAATTTCATGAGCAACTGCATTCGAAACAAAATGTGATCCTTCTGCCATGAGCATCTGCATTCGAAGCAAAATGTGATCCTCCTACAAAAATTAACTATCAACTTGTAATTTAAGAAAATAACTATCAGAAAAACATTAATATTAATTGCAGCCTAATATTAATAATAATATTAATTAGTAAATCAAAACAGTATATTACATTAAATGTATTACAATTATAGATTAACTTAAAATAATTAGTTTAATAATTTAATTATCAAAGCTGAATTTATAAATATATAAAATCTACAAGGAGTAATTTAAGGTAGAGAAAATAGGTAATGGAATAAGCAAATATTTTCTGAAATATTTAATAAATTGGGTAGTGTACTCTCTGAATCGGATGGAGAACAGCCGCTTTTCCCGCCATTGTTATTGTTGGTTGGCGCTTTGCTTTTGTTGCGCTGCCTTCGCATTCAATTGCAATGTCAAGTGATTGGCTTCGAGTGCGTTGACGAGCGGGGGGAATTTCGCGGGGAGGAAGGGGCGTTTCAGGGAGGTTAAAGAGAGGTGGAAGGGGAGTGAAAGAACCGCCAGCTGCCTGCCGCTTTTCCGAGTTTCCCACTACGGCCGCCGCCGACTGCTGACTGACTTTGATTGAAATGCTTTCAATAATGCAGCGAGACATTTGAATTGAATAAGTGGCGAAAGCGATTTTATGGATTAGCCGCAGCAGCCGAAACTCGAAAGCTCGGAAAACTCAGGAAACTGGTAGCTGGATTCGAAGTGCGTGGGAAATTACGGGTAAAATGAAAACTGTGTAATGCCTGATGGTTTGGCGGCATTAATATGTTATCGCCTCGCATTAAATGCCACAAAGGCCTCGTCATATGTGATATATATTCGATATGTGTATACTTTATTTTATTCCGCTAATTTATGCGCGCTTGTCGAAGGACTGATTCGCCATTCATGGACTTGCCCTCATTTGTATGCAAATGAGGTGGAAATCTAATTACCGCAAAACAAAGCAGCAAATCCGTTGTCTGTCGCAAGTCGAGTAAGAAAAACTGTTTATGCCTTGTGTTATGTAAGGCGATTACATTATGTGCAAGGACCTTTCCACACACACACACAAACACACAACCCAGCACACACCCAAGCACACACGCACATCTCGAGGCAAGACGGCAATTTGTAATGCGCCAATAAGAATTTATATCAACGCCGGCTGCCAAGCAGAAACCAGAACCCAGCCACGACTCCCGACGAAATCCGAGGACTCCTCGTGGTCGGATGCTCCTGCTCCTCGCCCCCCGCCCCCCGCTCCCCGCTCCTTGTCGTCCTTTGCCACTGATAAGAAACCCGTCCTGGAACGGGACAAAAACACACACAAACAAACAAAAAAAAAAACAGCAGGCAACGCACGTAACGTTTCGCTGATTGCCAGCAGCGAGGAGTGCAAAAAGAAAAAAGGACGAAACCATAACCCACGACAATCGCAATAACAACAACAACTGAGGGGAGCCAGCACGTGGCTGCCAAGCGTTGTAATTCGCCGGATCCGCGGACTCGTCGCCCCAAAAGTCGCGCAGGCGTCGGCAGCGACGCCAGGACCTCGTGTCCTCCCACGAAGTCAAGACGAGGTCCGACTGTTGAAGGGTTTTTCGTATAAGAGTTTGCAGTCAGTGGGAACAGCTGGCCTTTTGGTGGGATCGGTTTGCACCGCTGTTGATATTACTACATAAAAACTAAATAAAGAAATGTTTAAATAATAAGAAATTACAAACCTAAAACGGAATAATCAATCTTGCAAAAAAATCAAAAAAAAAATATATTTTCTGAAATTCGAAAAATCTGGCATGCAACTTTGTTATAGGGCTAGGAACATGGAAGAAAGTACCTTTCCCGTTGAGATAACTTTATTTTTGGCCATTTTATGCAAGTTTTTTCCAAAAGAAAAGTGCGAAAAAATATAGTGTTTTCTACCGGAATTGTCAACTGATCTTTCCCAAATCAGTTTTTATGAAGTAACTAAAGGATCAGTTAAATAACAATTAAATTGCATTCGGTGGCATGAATAGTTGGGCTTTTCTAGTTTCCAAAACTATACTTTGTTTTGCTGTAAGTTGTTTGTTGCCCAAATAACAGACAAATTACCAATGGAAAAAGTTTTTTTTTTGCCCCAAAACTTCAAAAAAAAAGGCAAAAATCCTATTAGGTACTTTAGAGATATTTGTTTAAATATAGAATATTTTATTATAGATTTTAAGTTATTATTAAATGAAAATGAAATTAAATAAAATGTTTTTTCTTGGTTTGGGGCTATATTGAAAATTATGAGTTGTTTATAGAATATCCTCATAAGGAGTGGCTAAAAAGGAGATGATGGCTCAAATCCCTAAATTCGATGGAAAAAACGAGTACGAAAAGTATTACTGACCATTTGGACAGCCAAATTGGCAATTTCTGAGAACAAAGTAACAGGCGAACAGAAGTTCCTAGAAGGTGGAATTTATAAAAATAATTTATAATTTTATCCGAGTTTCAAACCCAATACTATCAGTGATGCTCAACCCACAATCCCAGTATTTTGCGTGGATCGAGCATAGTCAAGTTTCGAACCACGACCCTTAGTACCATCCATAGAGAAAACTGTTGCATATCTTAGGGGGCTGCTGATTTTGGCTTTCGGATTTTGTTGCCACCTTTTAGGCATTGCTGTTCACCTGGTACTTTGTTTTCAGAAATTGCCAATTTGGCTGTCCACATGGACAAAATTACTCTTCTGCCCAGTAATTAATTCTTTGTAATTAAAAGCTGGTTGCTGTTGGTAAATTTAAATAACCACAAATCTGTGTACAGCTGCTAGTCGATCCTCTTCGCCTGGTACTTCAAATCTTTTATATTTGTACCCCACAAAAATTTCGAGACAATTGAATTTTCTTAATTTGAAAACACTGGCATGCAACATTTTATAAGCCCAGAACCGTAAAATAAATACAATTGCCGTTGAGATAAGTCGATTTAAAACCATTTTATTTATTTATCCATCTTAATCAATTATCTATTTTATTTTTATCCTAAAGTAAATGTTTACAAATTGGAATTTGTACTTTCCTTTATCTTACTAACTGTTCTCACTTGCCGAGATTTCCCAACCATCGCGAGAGGAATTCGCTGCCTTTCGGTCCCAGTATTCCAAGTGAAGGCCTTCGTGTGGCTGGCAGTCGTTGGTCCTCGGCAGCGTTCGTTCCTCTTCGTCCTGTCGTTCGTTGTTGCTGCTGTTGGTAGTGTTGCTGCCGTCGCTGCTGCTGTTGCTGCTGCTGTTGCTGTTTCTGCTGCTGCTGCTGCGCGCCTGCCGAGAAGCCCGTTGCATATCCTTTGGCGCTGATGCCACTGACAGCGCCGTTCAGTTTCGACTCGGATTCAGAGACAGACGGACGCGTCTTTTCGGCCCTCCGTCGACTGCAGTTCTTTCGAAAAAGCGCGAAACCGAAACTGAAACTGAAACTTAGAATTCTGAAAGAGAAAGAGAACGAGAAAGAGAAACCGCAGGGGCAAGGTAAACTACATATTTTTTTCGAGTGTGCAGTGTGAAAAGCGGCGGGGAGAAATCGCAAACGAGAAAACAGAAGACGGAAATGAAGCCGGCAAGTTGTGTGCATATCGGAGAAAGTAACGGAAATTAAAATTTGCATACATGCAAGAGGCGGCGGGCGGCGGTGGGCGGTCATCGGTAAGCGGTTAGCGGAGAGCGGTAAGCGGTAAGCGGTGACCGGTAAGCGGTAAGCGGTGACCAGTGAGCGATGAAGATGGAAATTAAGATGAAAGCGAGCCCGAAAGCGACCGAAACAAGACTCAAGTGCCAGATCTAACTGCAGACTCGTGCGCAATCCAACCCACCAGCCGAAAGTCGAGCGAAAAAAAACCGAATATATATATATAGACTCCCAGGAGCACTAGTCCAGATCCACAAAAAAAAAAAAAGAGAAGAAGAAGAAGTCCAGAGCAGACATGCCGTCGCCAGGACACACATCATTCTGCTGCTCCACGGCAGGATTTATCGCTTGCTCAGCAATCGTTCTGCTCTGCAGTTCCGGTAAGTGAAATATGCCCAACAAAAGGATCCAGTATCCACTAGCCAGTGTCCAATATCCAGTTGCCAGTATCCCATGGCCAGGATCCAGGGGGGATGGACCTTCTTTCTCCTTTCACTCACTCACTGCCTCGATTTCTTTTCTGTTGACCAACAAATTTGATTTCGCCTGCTTCTGGTTTATTGTTGACGTTGCATCTTGCAATGGAAACGTCATCGAATGTAAAATGTTTTGCGAGGCAAGTTTAAAAGGATTTTGGCAGTGGCACATCCACACACACACACACAGATAGTTACGAATACCGATGCATTTAGAGTTACAGCGATGGTGATGCTGATACAGACGAGTCCTTTCACCGCAACAAAAACGCACCGACACTTGCCACAAACAGAGAATAAGAGGACGAAGGTCCTGGACATGGACACAAAAGGCAGGCCGGCAAAACACAGCAGCACAGAGTGTCCAAGGTCTGGACACTCGGACAATGTGGCACGGGGTCTCCCCGCACGGGGTGGCAGGATGTTCTCGAAAAACTTCAGCTGAGTTAATGCATTTTGTTGCGCTCACAAAAAAGCGGAGAGGGGCGAGCATAAATATATTTGCTCCAGCATGTGCGGAAAAAAGCTTTTTTTAAGGAGAAACAAATTAACGCTTAATTGGCTCAATAAATCTAGAAGAGTTTTTTTTACCCGTAAAAAGGCTATCCTACTACTAAAACTTACAAGAAGATCGTGTATTGAACTCTCAAAGTGATATTGAAACTAAATTGTTAGGGGAGACCGGGGGGTTTTGAGACGGGTTTTGTTTTTTGACAACAAATATAATAGAAAAGCCATTTTTCTGCCCGTACAAATTTTTAAATCATAGTTCAGTGTAATTTCACTCAGACAAGAGTATAATTAGTTGAAATTTTAGTTCGACCTTCAAGTTTTGCCTGCCTGCTCAAAAGTTGTTTTTTATGGATTTTCGCAATGTTCGGGGGTTGTGAGACACAAATTTATAAGAATGAAAATGGCTTCATTTTATCAAAATTGTTTATTTTAATCTTTAATAAGGCATCTTTTGTGGTCTACCATTTATTCAAATTGAAAAGATTTCGACTTTTTCTCGATAGCAACCTCTTTTATAGCAGCCACAAAAACATTGGCATCAATCGCAGATTTGGCAGTCTGACTATACTTATGACGTACCATGATGACTAAAGAAAGAAAAAACGATCATCAAAAACACTGAATCCATCAAAAATATCAAAATTATCATTAAACGTTTTGGTTGTGTACAGAAACACTATATCAGGCTATAAAATACAATTTTATGTTCCTAGATGACGCGGTAATAGAATGTCTCATAACCCCCGAGAACGTTGTCTCACGACCCCCCAATACCTATATTTTAAATATGGCTTCTGCTTTACGGACGCATTAAGTGTTTATGCAAAATTTGTTCCGTGTGTCAAAAGGCTACTCACCAAGGAATGTTTCGGATGTATGCATTCTCGCAAATAGCTTGTAAAACAAAGCGAAAAGACAGCAAACACGAACGGTCTACAAAACTTTCGATCACAAAATTGGAGTTGCCATTTGGGAAGACATAAAGAATCGGCATGAGCGGAATATTTGTGATGTGGAAATGAAGATTGGAAACAAGCAAGAAGTTTCGAAGTCAGCTGGTAGATGTCGCGCTTTTTAGTTCAGGGCTGTAAGCGCGTCTCACGACCCCCGTGTCTCATGACCCCCCGGTCTCCCCTACCAATTACATCCTCACCAAAAATAAGGATTCTTAAGTTAGTAAACAAGCAACATTTACCATTCAAGATAGAAAACAAAATACAAAGTTAAACAGCAAAACCGAAAACCGAAAACAGAAAACAGAAACAGTTCATCAAGCTGATTTAATTCCGTACATTTTGGCCACTTTTTCTGCCGCGACCTACAAACTCAGCTTGTCGTTTTGCACTGCAGCTTTTCAGTTGACGCGTGCAATATATATTTATGTTTAAATTTTATATTCATAATGTTTTTGCACATTGAACAGCGCATTAGCGATAAAAACCGCAGACAGATCGGTTTTCGGTACAGGACCCTTTTCGAGTCCTGCGAGCTGGCGAGCGAAACTGGTTGTCAGTCGGCCGGGGAACACAGGACTCTCTGGCGTTTGTTATAAAAATTGCAGCATAAACAAGTGCAAATAAAAATAAGCGAACACACAAACAGCAACAACAAAAACATTGCCAGTGCGGTCAGACAACAACAAAAACAACAACAGCAGATGGAAAAACAACAACAACAGCAACTGAAATTGCATAAACTGCAAAGTGCAAAACTGAAAAACGAGTGAAGCGAATGAAAGGGGTGTGAAAAGCGGGGCACTGGCGACAAAACATTGCCCGTCATAAATATGAAAATATTAAACAATGCCCGCAAAAAACGAACTTTCAATGCTCTCTTCATTGCGAAAATATTGGGTGAATAACGTGAGGTTGATAAGGATATAGAAAGATCACTTTGCATTATTTATAACGTTTTACATACAAAGTATGTGCCGAATGGGTTGGAGATACATAAAATGTTTTGTGGTTCAAACTTTTTTTTTCCTAAATATTTTAAAATCTTTTTGAAGACCGTAAAGTGTAAAAAAAATAATTTAATAAATCTATTTCTATATTCAAAGTTCCCCAAAAATGTTTCTAAACGTAAATAGCTCCATAAAATCCATTCTTGATTAAACCTATAAATCATCTGTCAAAAATGAGCTAATAAATGTATGCATACTACTTTAAATTATGAATGATTAATAAGCTGCATTATTTATAACAAGAAAAAACTCATTTTCAAATAAGCCTGAGGTGAAAAAAAGCATAGAAATCAATTCCATTTATTGCCGAATTTAAGCGTTGATCCGGCCAAAAAAGGCTTTTACCAAATCAGGTCGCTTTAAATCTAAAAAGCCGACTAATCATATGAATGCGGCCAAAACAGGCTGATAATAATCGAAGGGCCTTTCTGCGGAAGGCAGGCCATAAAAAATAAGGCAGGGAAACTCAGGAAAAGCGAGAAAAGCGAGAGGAGCTGCAAAAGGAAAAACGGAAAACATTTTGTGGGGCGTAACAAAAGCGAGCTATATGGCAGAAATGCATGCAGGACAATCAACTTTCGCACAGACACACACACTCACACACCACTCACACACTTGCAGGACTCAATATAGTGAGTGTATGTGTGTGTGGTTTATGATACCATTTAGCCGGAGGGTTGTTTTGACAAATTGTGCAAATTATTGTGTTAAATTTGCCCTTGAGGTGAAAAATCACTTTGACATGGCCAGCCAACGGGCCTTTCGGGAAGCTTTCCTTTGCTCCTCCATTTTTCCACCGCACCTCCACTTTTCCACTTTCTCGCTTTTCCGCCCGTCGAAGAAGTGCTTAGCTGATTGTGCTTTTGTCTGTCGCATTACAAACGCCAATACATCTGTCAGCCGGCGGGCAAAACGCCTCACTTGACCGCCGATCCACTTTAAGTGCTTGCCCCAATCTGCTGCAAGTGCTGCCATAAATAGCTGAGGTTGGCAAAATAGCACTGGGCTACTAGATTCTTAAAAGAATTTCCGGAGCTTGATTTGTAATTGCTGAAATGGGTGTAACTTAGAAGAACATTTCAAATTTTTAATAACAAATTATAAGCTACAAACTATAGAGCCTAAATTTTGATTTATTCTCTTAACTGTGCAAACTCTAATCTGAAAAAAATCTTAGTAAATTTAATAGTGCATGTAGATGAAATAAGAATAATTTTGAATGGGAGAGCATTCTGGGAGCTTGATTTTAAATATTTTTGTTTAATTTGTACTGATAATTTTTTATGTTTAAGACATTCATGGACTACAAAAATATAGCTAATTAAAGAGAGGAAAGAGCGTGATTTCCTTTACCAGTGCTACAGTTTTGACCGCATCTATATGTGGTAGGGATATGGATGAAGTGCTTGGCCCGCTTTTTAAAGGCCAATGCCACTAATTGAGGCAGCGCAGATACCCGTAGATGAAGTTGCCAAGCTGGTAAAAGTTTTCAAAAAACGATTTCGCATGCAGCGTTGACGTGACTCGCATTAGCCACCGAAAACTGCACACGTGTGTGTCTGCACTCTGCACCGCCCGCCTCCCGCCTTTCACCTTTCACCTTTTCCACTCCCCTGTGACCACCCACCTCCCCTTTTGCCACCACCCACTTTGGCCGCCGCACAGGAAAATGTACTGTTGCTTATTATCGAAATTGTATATGCCAAGCAGCGGCGGCCACAACTTCCTCTTGAGCCTTCTTCGCTTTCTTTCTTTTAGCCACTTCTGCGAGTTGGCTTTCTCCCCCTCCCCTTTCCCTCCCCTCTTTACTTTTTTTTTTGTTGAAGGGAGGGGAAGAGTGGGCGGTGCAGTGGCAGGTAAAAGTTTGTTGGCACCAACAAATTAAGATAGTTGGTTAGTTGCAAGCGGCAAATGTCTAGACGGTTTTTAGCCAAATTATGGTTTTCAAGCGTTGTATTTGTTAGCCCTGTGGCTCCGAGCCCCGATTCTTCCTGAACATGAGCTTTGGCTTACTCCGTTGGCAATTACTTCCATGCACTCCGAAAAAAGCACGACTAGTTATATAATAAATTTTACGCCAAATAGCGCCATAACTTTTTGCAGAAACTTTTCGTTGATTTCCACTCCTGAATTCTTTTTCAGGGCGTTGCCAGTTTTTTGGATTTTTTGTTTTAAGTTTGTATTTCTTTTTGGGGAAGAGATCCTTATCGTTATCCGAATGGAATTGGTTTTCAATCAGCGTTTTCGGTAGCATTTAAACGCATTCGCACAGCATGCGAAAAAATAACAAATCAAGCAGCACAAACATCAACTTTTGCTGTTAACTCATCGCGTGAGTCGAACGTTTATTTTTCTCCACTTTGTTCATCAGCATTCCCCTCTTTCCTTACTCCAACTTCCCTTTTTTTGATTTTCCTGACCCATTTTTTAATTTGCCCCACAAGATGAAATGGGAATTTCATTTTTGGCGCCAAGGACCAACAAAAGTATTTCACTGCAAACACAAAACAAACAAAAAAAACAAAAGAAAAAGAAATGAAGTGCGGAATTCCTAAAATGTTTCTTCTCGGGCGAGGGAATGGAAAAAGTTTTGCTAACTATTTAGAAAAATCATGTAATGGCGTGGAAATTGTTTCTGTCTTTATTGCTGGTTAATTTTCTCAGCTATTTAATGTAAATTGCAGATTAAATGGTTCCTTTTCTGGGAGAAATAAGTTATAATGCCTAATTTTAGAGTAAGAGGACGGTTAAGAATAGTTTTTGTTTGCGTAAAGCGTATTTCAAAATCATTTTCTACTCATGAAGGTATCCCCAACTCAGTTGTTAATTTATTTAAAGCCGCTTTCCCCTGCCACCTGAAGTTTTTCTATTTTTCCTGTTTCGGAAATGCATTATGCAGCTTATCAGTTTTAATGCGCTTTCCATCGAAATAAAGTGTGAGTTTTTCAGCTCGAACGCGCAAAGCAAATTAAAAATTGAAGTGAAATATGTCCAAATAAAAACCGGTCAAAATCTGATCGAGTGTTGGCGAACAAATTAACTCGCTGAAAAGGGGATCCTTTAAAGAAAGGACAAAAATGAAAGGCGGTTTTTTTTTGGGCACTGAAGACTCGAATTATGGGACTGCAAAGGCGACAGTTTGATAAACTGGAGCAGCGCTTCAGATACTAATCAGCGCTCCGCCGTTCGCTTAACAGGAAGCAATAAATTTCGCCAGGACATGCCAGGATATATGCGTGTGTCACTGTGTGTGCGTGTGTATGTGTGTGTGTGGGTGAGCGTTCCGCGCCCTTGTCTAGAAATTTTAATTAAAAGCGATGACACAGCGAGTAATTCAATATCAAAATGTCGCCTATTAATTTTAAGGACATTTCCTTTATTGATTCACTGTCAATATTATATTGAAGCCATAATTTACACATAAAAGGGCTATGGCCGAACCCCCCAATCCCCCAATCCCCCGGAAAACCCCCGGGAAAACCCCAGATCCTTCGCCTTAAGCAGCCTTTGTTTGGCTGGTTTAATTCATTTAGACATTGAAACGTAGATGGGGGCGTTTTGGTCCTTTTTGATGGCATCCACACACGGAATGGTGTGCGTGACTGTGACTGTGGCTACGACTGTATTCCTGCGACGAAAGTCGAGGACATTTGCCTGCTTTTTGATAGCCAAACATTCCATCTTTACGCCATTTTCATGCACACGCCAGCCAGTCAGCCAGTCAGCCAAACAAACAAATAACAATGGCAAATGGTAAATGGCAGAAGGGAAAAGGGAAAAGGGAAAGGACCTTCTCCCCTTCCATTTAATTCTGATTTAACGCCCTGCGTACAGTGATTACAACAAAAACAAACAACCGAAATGGAAATCGCAGTTAATTTAGTCATCTAAACGCGCTTGTTATCGATAAGAAAGTGACTCACTCACGCCACTTTCCCCAAAAGGGGGAAAACAACACGGCAATTAATGTGTCCTTTTGATAAAGTAATAAAGTGTGGAAAGGTTTAAGGGGCAGGGAAAACAGAATTCCGTTAAAAAGGGAAACACGGAAGGGAAGTTGTATCTTAATATTCATTGCCATGGATTTATTGCAAAAGAAAAGATTTATTGACAGGAAACAAGCATTTAATAGAGAGCACCATAAATGTTTTTGCTTCAAACCACTTTGTTTATATTCAATAATTATATTTTATAGGGATTTACAAAGCCACTTCATACTTTTTAAATAAACTCAAAAGTGAACTCTCCTTTTATACTAATATATTTAAATGAAAAACCAATAATTTAAAGGCAGAAATTTTTAGAAATCACTTAATAAAACTGTCGCCTAACCATATCGACCACATTGAATTTAGCCATAGAGCTATTTGACTATTTAACTATTAAACCGGCCTATAAACCCGTAAAACACATACACACACTTGAACAGCGTACATCGGCTTTTGGCCACTGGAATTGATAAACAGGCTGAGATACGAATTAAGGCAGCTGGAAATGGAACTGAAACTGGCACAAAGGCCTAATGCTCCAAATGCCGGCGAGCCAAGGAGATAGTTATAAATATAGACAGATATAGATGGAGATGGAGATGGAAATGGAATTGGAAATGGGCGGTGGATGACGGGGTGACTGAACGATAGAGACAATAACCCGAAAGCGAGATGCCATTCGAATGGCCAACAGGAACCCATAAACTATTGGCCAGAACGCACACACTCGCATACACACACACACACACACACACAATTGTGGCGACAGACTGGCTGTCTTTTGATTCCCCTAACCCTCGTAAAATTCAACAACCTTTTGTCACATAGCAAAGAAAAAAACTATTTACTTTGAATGGAGTTTTAGGTATTTAAAATATTTCCTTTTTGTCCAAAGCTTTTACTAGATCATAATAACTTTGTTTGTAAATTTAATCTCTGGAAACAATAATAATTTAAAAGCCCATTTAAAATAGTAGAAAAGTATTCCCTGTGTAGGCAAATTTTGTGGGTCGACGGAATAAAACTGTTGTAACAATAAATTGAGTTGCTGCTGCAGCATAAAACGAATTTGCCAAATGACTGAATTGTATTTTGGGGGACTGAATAAATTGGGGTCCCTGCAATCGGCGGACGAATCGCGGAGATGACTTCTGGAAGCGGTTTAGTTCCCCGGCGTCTCCACTCATTTGCACCCATTTGGCCCGCCATTTGGGGCCAATTTAATAGCATACTTTACTGCGCTAAGCAGACAATAACAACAGCGCAAATAAGAGGCAAAAAAGGCGCTGGCAAGCGACAAACAACCAAACAAACAGACAGACAAACAAACAAACAAACAAACAAAATGAAGTGACGTCGCCGAGTCGCGGCTCGCAAAAGCGGACGTTCATTGTTATGCCAAGAAAAGCAACACGACGGCCGAAAGGAATTCAGCAGAAGCCAACAGAGACAAAGGACCCGATGGCCGGGATCAGATGCCAAATTCGAGATACACTATCCCGGGATTGAAGTGAATCTCTGTCTATTTTTAAGGGTTTAAAATTATGTGAAATATACTAAAGCACACCGACATCATTTCAAAACTGAATCATTGTTTGATATTAAATGCTTAAGTTGGTTTTACATATTGCACAATTTCTTACCATCCATAAAACACTTTCTCTGAAGTTGGAGGAAACTCATCACTTGCCAAGTCAATTAAAAATAGGACACTCTATTGAAGAAATTGTTTGGCATTATAGTTTAGTAATGAGCAGCTTTTTAGTGCGACTGCACCATCTGAGAATCGAAGGACCCTCGGTTTGGCGAGGGTAATCGCAGCGATGGCAGCGAACAGGAAGCGGGCAACGGTTCCACCGACTCCCTTTTGAACTTCCGCTTTGGCTTGCAGCAATTTCTTTGGGCTTTATTGCCGCACCGTCCCGCCGCCCACTTCGCCCCGCCCCGCCCCCTTTTGGGATGTTGCCGCCGTTCGTTCGTTCGGCCAAAAAGCTCCGTTACGACGCATATAGCATAAATTTTGAATACGCTCAAACTGTTCAAAGGGGATGAAGGCGGGGAAACGGGAAAACGGGGCAGCGGGGTGATTGGGGAGAAAGATGAAAAAAAATAGCGAAAATTGTCTGTCGCTTGATAAAGCGGAAGCAGAACTTGGCCATAAACGAAATGTGGCAACTGAGTGTAAACTTTATTGGCGCCAGACTGCCTGGCGACATCGCCGTTGTCATCCCATTCCATCGCATCCAATAGCTTCCCATGGCATCGCATCGCATCCCTTGACCCCGAATTCGGTTTGGCAGGATCTAGTATGCAGCATCCAGTATCCAGTATCCAGTATCCCGCATCCTGACTGCCTTCTCTCTATTTTTTTGTGGCCCAGTTGGACGACGTTGAGTCATGCGACACGCAGGATAAGCAGGACCAAAACTACCGCCAGGACCTCGACCACGAGCAGATCCGATGGCGTCTCGATGGCTGGATGGCTGGATGGCGGGCAACCATTGCCCCCCGCAAAGGCAGCCGCTTGTTTGTTTTGTCTGACTCCGCCGGTGACTCTCAGTCTGCCCCAGGATGAAATGAATTGGGGAGGGGAGATCCTGGAGGGGAATGGGGGCAGAAATGGAGGAAGAAATGGAGGAAGTCTTACATTAGTTGATTTCATGCGCTGTTTACATTGGCAGCGAATTATGCGCATTGAAAACCAGAGATTTGGCTGCCAGCGGGTGGTTGTCCTTAGACTCAACATCCTGCCATCCTGCAATCCTGCCATCCTGCAATCTTGCCATCCTGCAATGCATATGCAAAGAGATCGGGGAACTGGGAACTGGTAACTGGGATATGGAATCTGGTAGCCTGAAAGTGACTGCTCCTCGGAGCCAAATTCTGGGCTGTCTAGACTTTAAGCTCCTTGGCACCTTGGTGCTTACCTTTCTGCTTTAAGGCTCTCGATTTGATTGGCACTCCTCGCCTTTTCCTTTGCTCCTTCTACTTTCAGAGGTCCTGTCCAGCTGGGAGGAGTGGTGGACATACGATGGCATATCCGGTGAGTAAATCTGCTTTTAAAACCTTTACTTCACCTCGTTATTTAGTTATTTATATTGTGTACACATTTATAAATTATGTTCGAAACTTTTTGAAGCAAAGTTCAATCAATTTCTTTTGTGTTTTGCGAGTGTTTGCATGTTTAAATCTTTGTATGAATAAATTGGTAAAACTTTCGCAGCCCCTCTTTCGGATATTGCGGCTGATTTAATTACATTTCAAATGGTTTGGCAACAAAAACGCAGACAGAGCAAACACACCCAAACAAACAGCCAAACAACCAAACAACCGCCCACAAACACACAAACACACGAACACACAAATTGGGTGTGGCATGTTGTTGCTGTTGTAATCGTTGCTTGTCACTGCCTGAATTTTCCTCCACAACCCCGATGCACTTTTTGCAAATACAAAATACAAAAAAAAAGAATATATTTGGGGGGAACACAAGCAACATGCAACTGCAACAGTGGCAACAAACGAATGCAAAACACAAAATGAACAGCCACCACAAAAGCGACAATTGCGGGGTGGCAAAGGGGGTGGCAGGGGGGATGGTAAAGGGGGTGGGGTAGCGGTTGATAGGTGGGCGGCGATTGGGGAGGGAAAAGGGGGCGGGTCAGCTGCATCATCACTGAGCAGTTTTTAAACTTTGGCATTTATTGCCCCCGCGTGTCATCAAAGCGCTCCACACAAACACACCGAAAAACAACCGCACACTCACAGCCACACGTACACATATTGTCACACACACAAACACACACACAAAGAGTTAATCCGAATTTTAGAAGAAGAAATTCGTATCCTGGAAGTCCTAAAGTTATATGGGTTTAAGAACATATTTAAATAATCAGTACAAATGTATTATTTTTTTAAAGTAAAACATATAACCTTATTTTAAGTTTATGCAGTTCTATTTACTTTAACTTTATACTAAAAATTTGATTATTTTTTAAATTTTGGTATTGCAACTTGAACATTTTAGAATTTCTATACTCATAAATATTTTTTTCTATGAAAAGAGACCATAAATGCCCAGCTAAGCTGGCACCCATTATTTGCGTCCATTTATTTGCAGCGAGCAAAGGGGAAAAGTATTAAATTTTGCATGAGGCACAAAGGCCTAATTCCCCCCGGCTTCCTCGTCCCCATCCTCATTTTTTTTTTGGGCAGAGACCACAGATGCCGCTTTTTACCGCACTCCCCTCAGTTGACCGACAGTGGAAATGGTGTAGCATTGTTTTGAAAACTTTCGACAGTTTTCAGGCCGTCAGATCGGAGTTGGAAGCCGGGCTGGAAAACCCAAACAAGTGGGGGTGCCCCTAGCCCAGCACCTATGGTGCATTTAATTGCCATTTAAAAGGGGGTCTGAAGAGCGGGTTGGCAGCAGTTGGGAGCTTATGAAATTTCATTTGGCATTTGGCATTTGGAATTGTCATCGACGTACTATGTATGTAGCTGCTGCTGCAGTTTCCCTTGCAGTTGCTGATGCTGTTGCTGTTGCTCTTTCTGTTTGCATTGGGCGAAGAGGCGAAGACACGTTTTCCATTTGCTCGATTGACAGAAATCAGAAATCCATGGCACAGGAACGGAAACTGCAGCCGAATTGGGCAACTGCCAGATGTACAGGGCCAATAACCGATTTATAGGGAGTCCCTGTATTTATCAATCAAATCCTTATTGATTCTTAACTAATTTACTGGGATTTAACAACTCTTCAGATTTGATACAAAACCACCCACATTTAATACATTTATTTATATGTCTTGTATTTAAACATTTTGTTTAATGCGGAACTTTATACACTCTATACACCTCCCTGGAAAATATTGCAAGCCTTTTGGCGACTCATTGCTCCCTTTCCTTTTGTCCTTTTTCCTTTTTCTGGCAGGACCAAGCTTCTGGGGCCTCATCAACCCGCAGTGGAACATGTGCAACAAGGGCCGCCGCCAGTCGCCCATCGACGTCGTTCCCGACAAGCTGCTCTTCGATCCCTACCTGCGACCCCTCCACATCGACAAGCACAAGGTGCGTATAGAGTCCCCCTGTCCTTTGAATACATCCTGTACTTAATGTCCTGCCATTGCAGGTGTCTGGGACTCTGCACAACACCGGCCAGTCGCTCGTCTTCCGCGTGGACAAGGACACCAAGCAGCACGTGAACATCTCCGGCGGACCGCTGGCCTACCGCTACCAGTTCGAGGAGATCTACATCCACTACGGCACCGAGAACGTCCGCGGGTCCGAGCACTTCATCCAGGGATACAGCTTTCCCGGCGAGGTACGACTACTCCTTTCCTCATTTTTTTAGGAATTGACACAACCACTACAAAACAAATAAATTGCAACATCGATTTATCCATTTTTTCCATTTTTTTGTATCGGTAAACCTGCACAATATGGCCTTCATAATGTCTTTTTTAATTTTGAAATACTTGCGTGTACTGCAGATCCAGATCTACGGATTCAACAAGGAGCTGTACCACAACATGTCCGAGGCGCAGCACAAGTCGCAGGGAATCGTGGGCCTCTCGCTGATGGTGCAAATTGGGGAGACGCCCAATCCCGAGCTGCGGATCATCACGAGCACCTTCAGCAAGGTGTTGTACAGAGGTGAGTGCCTGTGACCGACCGTAGGATTGGGTGCCCCCAAGTTCATGCCCCAAGTGGCACAGAAGAACTCGGATCCGAACTCGGCCCACTGACCACCACCTTCATTTCCGTCTACGCAAAATGCTACCGGAAGTGTTGCAACGTTAATGCCGTTGCAAGTTGCCTTTTCTTCTTTTGCCCGGTTTTATGATGTCATTGCAGCCAACAGTCGGCAACAACAACTACAACAACAATAACAACAACAACAACAACTGCAGTGGGCCATAATTATGTCCAGGCGAGCCATAAAAAATCGAGCAGTTCGCGGGGAAAGGGAGAAATGGAGAAAGGTGAAAGGGAGAAAGGAGAAAGGGGTGGGGAGTGGGAAGTGGGAAGTGGAAATTGGTGGCACGTCGAAATTGAGACTGGCCGGCACAAAGTGACGAAAATGAAACCTCGAATTACACTAAACCGACACTTAATAATTCCCCCTTCCCTACGGAAAAGCGCTGCTCGTCTCGTTGGCATTTTCCTGGCCAGTTTAATAGCCTTTTTACAGGTCGTACAACTTTATGGGAGCCCAGACCCAGCCTTAATTTGTAAAATGCCAGGACGAACAGAGCGGGAAAACCGAGAAATATGCCAGGCCACTCGCAACAACAACAGCAGCAATAACAGCCTTAATAACTTTGGGATGGGACAGCTTTGCCATATAAGGTTTAAACTCACCAAACTGTAGATGCTCTTCCTAAAAATTAAGGGGAAATCAGAGGATCAAGTAAAGAAATTTAAAAGAAAATATGCGATTGCAATGTGTGGAGAGAGTGGAAAATCTCCCAAAGTTTTGTGATTTATAAAAGAAAGGTTATGAAGTTTTTATATTAGATACCAGCATAATATTATAGAAATCTTTTGAGTTAGTTACTCGATTCTATAGTCACTTTTATTAATGAAATAATCTTATATGAGTGTACTGATACTTACAAGACGTAATTCCGAGACATTAATTTCCTTCAAGTCGCGCCGAAAAACAGCCGCCGAATAGCTCTTCCAATCAGTTGATTGATGTGCGAATATTCCCGCGGAGAGTGAAACTAACACTTGCAATGCAAAGTGGGAATCCAAATCGAAGAACCCCTTTCCCCGCTTTTCCTTCTCCGTCTCCGATTCCGGATTCCGGATTCGGTTTGACTTGGGCTACAAGCTGCGAGTTGCTTCATTTCCGGCTGGCAAAATGATTTGTATGAATAAAGCCGAGCGCTGACGTTGAAGTGGTCAGGTTGGCAACCGAGAACTGGGAACTAGAAAGTGGCTACAGGGGCCACTGGCTACCGAGAACTGGCAACTGGTAACGGGGCTGAATTATTCATTAGACGTGTTTCCATATTTCTGTGCGGTGCGCGCATAAATAGCCGGGCCTTGAACCCTCCGTTCTGACGTGTTTTTCCACGGGTGTTCTCCTTTTCCTTTTTCTCGGCAGGCTTCTCAACGCCCATCCGGCACATTTCGGTGAGGTCGCTGCTGCCGAACACGGACCACTACATCACCTACGAGGGCTCCACCACGCATCCGGGCTGCTGGGAGAGCACCGTCTGGATCATAGTTAATAAGCCCATCTATATCACCAAACAGGAGGTGAGTGTCCTGCGTGTCCTGAGTGTCCTGCCTCGACGAACCGCAAATAATTAAATGCGTTTCGTTCGCTTTTCAATTGCAATTAGAGCGGCTTGCTCTCGCTGCTTTATTTATGTTCGATTCGTTTCGATTTGGTTTGATTTCCCTATTTTTATTCTTTTTTTATATATGTATATTTGTTGGTATTATTCACTCGTTTTTTGTTGGTTGCTGATTGGGAAGTACAATGAAATCGCATAAATGCAATTATAAAATTGCTCATCAATTTGGGCATCGGTCGGCTCGCGGTGGCAATGCGGTCAATACTCCGCTCTGTGCATAATTAAAAAACAATATTTGGTTAGTTTAATCAATTTGCATAAATGCATATCAAACATGTGTAATGGCCAGGCCGCCGGGTTCAAAAAGTGCTGCAAAAAAAAGTGCTCAAAGTAAATGAGTAAACAATACAGTGAGTAGTGGGCCAGGTGAAAAGTGAAAAGCGAAAAGTGGGCCAAAATGCGTTTAAGTGGAGTGTAAACAAGAGTGATTTTCATTGACTAGTTGGGAATTACAAGCCACGAAGGGCAATTGTTGGGAACACTTCTAGTCACTTCATTCATTTTGTTTCAAAATAATTAATTTAGTTGCTTATTATTTATGCTAAACGAGTGGAAAGTAATACATCATTTGCAATGCGAATTTCTCACTCAATTTGACAGTAATTAGTGGGTTTCCTAACCAACTATCTCCAGGTTGAGTACTAACCAGTTAACCCTTATGCTTGCAGTTGTACCAACTCCGACGACTGATGCAAGGCTCCGAGAGTACACCCAAAGCTCCACTAGGAAATAATGCGCGACCCGTGCAAAGTTTACACCATAGAACCGTAAGAACGAACATAGATTTTAAGCGCAACAAGGTGAGTGAATCGATGGAATCGATGGGATCGAATGGCTTTAATTAACCCATTAGCCATTGGCCATTGGCCACACAGTCAGCAAGTGGACACCGTTTTTGTTTGCGGTCACATCATTATAGTATTTACACATTTTTTGTTCATTTATTTTTAATGCCCGTCCGCACAGGAAACTTTTATCCCAGATTACTTTCCATCGTGTTTGCATAGAAGTGTAATTTTTGTTTAATTTATTTTTAATGCAAAAGGGGATAAAGGGAACACATTGTAGCATGAACTTGTTTATTAATTTAATGATATTGCAAAAGAAATTAATCATTGTTCAGTTGATTTGCTAAGGGTGGCTCGAGTTTACATATTTTGTAACGCAATTCTTTGTTAATTATTGAGTTATAGTCTTTCTAAAAATACTCAAATATTCCATGTTTTTCTTTCTTTATTTTCATCCACAAATATCTGTAGAATCAGTATGCGTGCCCCTCGATGTACAAGGATATGTACTATCGGGCGAATCGGTGGTCGCCAGATACGGGTCTCTTGATACGTTGACAACTGGAGAAGAGCGAGCCCTGTGGAAAGCAATTATTATTATTGCTACTATTATTATTATTATGTATGGTAAATAATGTTACAGCAATTACAACTATAATGACAACAACTGGTTACAAAAACATCAACAACTGAGGCTGGCAACGAAGCATTTTGCATTTTGCATTTTTTATGTCGCATTCAATTTTTATATTCATGTTTACAACACGAACTCAGGATTCGTTTGGCTTGCAATTGCAATATTCCTACGGCAGTGGCAGCAACAGCAACAGCAGCATAGCAATTTGTATTATTTATTTCATTATTTTTAATAATACAACAGCGGGACAAATTTAGGTAGCAAATGCATGCGAGAGCGGTAAAAACGAATGCTTATAGAGCGCGCATAACAATAGAGTGAATGCCATGCTGAGCTAAATAAATGCTAAATTAAAGAAACAAAAAAACAGCAGACAAAAAGCAAACAGTTGCTAAAATTTGCGTGAAAATTTTATTGCATATTTTTCTGCGTTAGAGAGCATGCGAACTTAATTCAATGAAATTCAATACAATTCGTTTTTGTCTTGGATTTATGATTAACATAAAAAGCGAACGAGTCCATTGCAGTTTGCAGTTTTTTGTGCCCGGCTTAAATTTGTAAATCGAAGCGCGTTAATTAAATAAGCCAGACTTTTGCTTTTCAATCATCTATTTTCAATGGCGATTCTCGTCGAACAGGAAATCTGGTCGGTTCAAAGGCTTAGATTTAATCCGAACTCATTTGAATATTTCTGATTCAGCGCACCTATATATTATAATTATATTCGATTCGCCTCCTTTTTATTTTTTTGCAATGCAACCAAAAACAAAAAAAAAAAACAATGAAACAGAAAACAGAAAACAGAAAAGAGAAACAATGTTAAAAGCAACAAAAAAAAAGCGACAACAAAGTGAAATAAGAGAATTTCCGTAAACTGGATGGGTGGACAATAACTAAAAAACAAAACAAAACAAAAGAAAACGAAAGACAAATGAAGCGATGGAGACGAAATATAAACAAATGGCAACATAAATTAACAAAAGTAAATATTCATATAAATATACACAAAGTAAAGGTATCTATATAAAGCGTATATATATATATATACACACACACACAGGTATGTACACCATTCGATGAGGAGAGTCGCAAATATCTTCAGGGAATCGCAATATTATTACCGACATTTTGAGGAGATATACTTCAAATTATTCTTATAACATTTCACAACTTCACACACATTTTAAATATATATTCTCTGGAGATTTCTGCGGCAACCCTGATTATACACATACACACTATATATGTGAAAGAGAAATAAAACAAGCGAACTACTAAGCAATGCAATATGGAAGTTGACCAGAAGTCGGTACACTATATATGTAGGGAGGCTAATGTACGAACCCCGACTCAAGATATACCCACACACATCCAAGGCATTTATAAGCGTCTATATACTTGGCTTCGAGTCCGACGATCTGGCAGGATGCCCCGTCTTCAGTTATATATCTTTAAACCAGTCAAGGAGTATACACCAGCTAAAGGAAATGGGCTACAAAACGTAATATAATCTAGAAGGCAAGAATTAGAATTAACTAACTAATTGATTAACTAGCCGAGTTGCTAACAAAAACCCAATGAAATCAAATTCGAATTAATGAGTAAACCAGAAGCGATATATATATACTAATATAACGACATTTTTTTTTGAGGGCAGACAGTGTTGTAAAGTGCTGTAAAGGTAAAGACAAGTATTATGGCTAAAGTAGAACCTAAGTTACTGAATAGCATTAGCAGTTAGCAGTTAGCACCACCTGAGTTTGTATAATATACACGAATACCATATATAGTATATATAGAATACCAAACGTACGAGTATGTCAGATCCGTTCAATTCCCACATTCGCAGCTGTCGAGCGACACTTTGTGCAATTATTTCTTTGGGCCAACACCATCCAATTAACCAACTAGCCAAGCAGCCTAACAACCTAACAACTAACTAACGAATATACTAACTAGCCGACCAGTTAGGCCCCCCGATTATGTGTAGAGCATTGACTATTTGTATAAAAGCTAAGGGAAAGGGATCGAATCGCAGAATCGCATTCCTCAACTCGGTAACACTTTGCTGCGACTGTAAGTTACTATTGTGTTGCCAGACAAAAAACCAATTATTAAGCGGAGCAGAAACTATATATATAAATATATATATATATAAAAAATTATACAAATTCTATATATGTATATGTAACTATAAATGCAAGAATTACTAGGCAAAAAGAGCGGGTTAGCAGAAAGCATTGTTGCCCGAGAAAACGAAATTGGAAATTGCAAAACTAATAAATGAAATGCGAAAGTATTATATGAAAATCAAAAGTCCTGTTTCCCTTTTCTTTCGGGCGGGTAATCCTTTCGGCTTTCTATTTTCGACTTTCAGGCATCGCAATGTCCGGAAACGAGCTGGAAATGAAATTTCAAAACATCGAGGAGGCAGGTAAGGATTAGGAATCGAGTTTCTAATAACTCACGACTTTCCGGAAGTTCCCTGGCCAGAATTGGAACTTAAATACGCTACTATTGCGGTGATATCTTCTTTGGGCTCTTTAAGCCCTTCAAAACTGCTTAGTGCACTTAACAAAAAAATCAGCAGAAAGACCTACATTAAATTCAAATACTTTACTTATTGAAAATGAACTTTGTTCAATATTTAACTACTTTATTTCATCCCTTAAACAATGTTTTACTTCTGGAATTCCTCTTGAAATATCTACTCATAAACAGAGCACCGAAATAGGTTTCGCCAAGTGTAATCCCAATTGGAATGTCCTTGAGTGGCAGAACAATAATAATTATAGAAGCGAATGCGTAACGCAGTCAAGTGCTTAGAAATGTGCCAGCAACAAAAACACACTTTATATCCGATGGCTGCCACAATGACGACACACACTCACACACACACACACACACCGATCTATGCAACACACACCACCCTAAACACTAACACCAGTGGACACAGTGGGAATGGTCTGTTTAAATATGCAATTTCAATTTCCGAAAAACACAAAACGCGTGCAACACGCAGAGGATTCACAGCTCAGGATTTCACTGGATAGAAAATGGAAAAGTGATGGTGAAAAGGGAAAAGGGGAAAAGCGGTGGCGATTGGGAGGATGTAAAATTTGATGTTGAATGTTACCAGGCAATCGGAAATGGCGGATTTGAGCGGCGGTTTGGGCGACGGCCGCATGTTTAATTGGACGCAATTGAAACTAAACTAGCGTAAAATAGAAATAAAAACACAAATAGAATTGCTGCTTGCGGCCATATGGCCATAGCCATTGAAATGCATTCGTTTCGTTTCGTTCCGCATAAAAATTAATTACAAATTAATTTACCATAAATTGGAGTAGCGTCCCGCTCACCAAGTGCCCAGTTGGTCAGCCCCAATCACTGGGCCATGGCCAAAACGCACTGCGAGTGCCGAAATGGTGGGGCCCAGAAATCCAAGGGGGCTTCTCTGTATAACTACTGTTCATTAGCGCCCCTCGAAATTCGGCTACAGTGGTCACTCGCTTTAAATGGCGAATTAATTCGGTTAATCAGTTGTGGGAGCTTCACTTATATCTATTGGTTTAGCAATGGAAATTATTAAAGTTGAAAGTATTTTAATGAAATTAAATATTAAATACACTTTGAGCCATAATTAACATTTTATGGAATATTATATTTATTGATTTAAGTCCCATTTTAAACATGAAATGTAGTTCGTTATTTCCTCATTTTACCATCACGTATTGCAAACATAATTAGAGAAATAAAAGTAGTAGCAGCTCTCAATGTTTTGCCATAATTTGGCATGCATGATATTCAAACGATTTGGCCAACATTTCGCTGATAGGCACATTAAACCGTCGAAAGCCGAGCCTTTTTTCACTGCCCTCCGTTTTTGGGCCATTGTTTGCGCTGATGCAGCAACCTTGGGCCAAAATGTAAAATGTGAGGGGCATTGGCGGCAACCGCATTTTACGGAATGCGGTCAAAAGGACTAATTATGCTAAACGCCAAAACCGCAACAACCAGTTAGCCATGGCCAAAACCCCGTCCGCTTCTTTTTTCCGCCTCTGCAGTTGTTACCAAATGGTTTTTTTTTTTTGCCATTGGCATTGTTTTTTTTTTGGGTGATGCTTTCTGTGATGCGATAAACCAAAAATTGCGCACGATATTTCAATTAAATTGGTATGCCGATGGCCATGCATATGTAATGCATTATGATTTTGGCCACATTTTAGCTGCATTGCTATTTACGATTGCAACGGCAAAGGCCACGCCCCCTCAGAGAAAGTTTTACACATTCCACATTCAACAAAAAGCGGTGGGCGGATGGGATCGAGCCGGACATGTAAATAACAGCAAAAGTTTTAATTAAATTTTAAATACAAGTTAATTTTGGTGTATTTTCACGCTTCCTCTTCTTTCTCTCTCTCTCTCTATCTCTTTCTCTTTTGGTTTTTTCGGGAAAAATCCGTTTTATTTAACTTTGTGTATTATTTATCTTTATGCTTGTGCGCTGCGCTGAAAATGAGTTATAAATATTTAGTTGTAATTTATGTTTAGTTCGCATTGTTTGCGGCCTTTAAATCGAAATTAATATTCATGGGCCAGCGGCGCGAGCGCTTCAAATTTTAATTAGAAATGAATAATTCCAGCACTTGTTGCTCTGCAACTCGGCAGCTCAGCAACTCTGCCAGCAACTCGGCATTTTCCCATTGATAATCCCAATCGTGTTCAGGTGATTTGCAAGTAATCATGTTGTATGGTACATTTCCAGGCCACACAACGCATATTGATGGCCATTCTCGCTGCGAATCCTATTTCGCTTCGCTCCTATCCCGATCCCGATTCTGATTCGGATTCTCAGTCTGATTCTGATTCAGATTCTGATTCCGATTCCAATTCCTGCTCCTTTTCCAGTAATAAACGTGCGTAATCAAGCCATGGCCAGAAATATCTGTCTGGATGTCGGAGGCACACAACAAAAGCCAATGTCAGTGCACATGTGGCACACTGAGAGGAAAACTCAGTACTTTTCTATTTGGTTTTTGGGTGTTTAAGCCACATTTTCAAATCAAAAACCTGCGTAAACCGCTATAAAAATTTTCATAGCATACATAAAAGGGCAATCATTGAATCAGGATTCCACATTTCAAAGATCACAATATGGGGTGCCATTTGGTAACATAACATAAATATATAGAACCCTATGAATGCTTGTATTTTCTCTCAGTGCACTTGCAGCCACCTGCCTCCCTCTTTTGCCGGGTGTAATATTTGATTTTGATTGAAGTGCAGTCAGGCATGTGCGGCCAAGGAAAAATCGCACGAGACCTTCTGCCTGTTGCCTATTCAGGACCTGTCAGTCCGGCGTCCTGAGTCCTGAGTCCTGAATCCTGGGCCCGAGTACGGAGCTCGAATCCTGCGTCCTTCGTCCCGAGTCCGCAGTTCAAGACGAACGCATAATGAGTTCCAGGCAAAACCGGAGAGACGGGCTGCAAAAAAAAAAAAAGTGCATTATAATGCCGCCTGCCAACCGACATGAACGTGAACGAACGCCTCCGGTTTTCTCCCCTTCTCCCCTCTCCTCTTTCACCTCTCCTCTCTCACATCTCCTCTCCCCTTTCTCCTCTCTCCCCTTCCCCCTTTCCTCTTCCCTCATTCTCCTGGGACTCCATTTAAGCTACGTGACTTACGGAACAGAACTGCAGCAAAGGATTCGAGGAAACTGGTTCGGAGTTTCCACAAATCCGGATCAAAGAGGAGTTCCCCTGCATTCGTTTAATTTTATTAATTGGTAATCATTGTCCATCAGATCAATAGCAATATTTAAGTGTAATATTCTATTTTAACAACATTATTTATGTGGAACACTAGCATTTGTATAGCTTCCAATTACTATGAAGCGATTTCAGCTTAATAAACTTCATAAACAGAGCCTTGGATAATTACATCATTAATTGGGAAATCTAAAAGTCTAGTTTCTATTATATTATTTATACAAATATTTTTTTTTTAAATCTTTATATGAATAATCTCAAGCACCAGTTATCGCGGCGAACTAGTTCTTCAGGGGATTTCCCAGAGGATAAGCAAGGGCTTCGCCGACTCATCTCGATGCAAACTGACAGGCATCCTGCGCCTGGCCCCAAAACACGTTGAGCTCCTTTCAGCTTGGGGCTAAGCCAGCTCAGACTTGGGTTCGGACCGAGACTGAGGCCAAGGATGCGGGGAAAGGGTAGGAAATGAAAGGAGGATACCGCACTTCCCCGCAGATTTACTTCGATGGCTGCTGCACTTCTTCAGCTTCGAACTGCGCCGCTTTTTCACGCCAGGCAATTTTATGGGCTGCATAAATCAGGGATTCTGGGGGGGGGAGGCATTCGCCTTGTCGTCTGGGGGCGTGGCAGGCAATTTATACATGACGACGTTATTATTTGGGGGCCCCCAAAAACTATATACATATATAGTTTAGGCCTTGGTAATTGCCGGCACTCGCTGCGCATGAAAATTTAAAACGCAACAAATGAAAGAAAATGTTTCGGTTTTTTCACGAGTTCTCCTCTTTTTGCACCCTACACATTTCGAAGTGGCTTTCTGGTTTTGACTGCGAATTAAGGCGGAAAGAGTGGGGAGTGGGGAGGGGCTGGGGGAGGGCAGGAACGAAGGACGAGGCCGGCTCTCTGGGCCACAATTTGTTTTGGCCCGTTTTTATTTGCCTGTCTGAAGCTGGCATTGCCAAGGCGAAAAAAAAAAAAAAAAAACATTTAGGCAACTTGGCCCTTTGAAGGCTCGTGGTCATAAATTCCGTTCTCACCACATTCTCCCCGGCCCCTTTTCTGCACTTCCTGCGAGTCCTGCGAGTCCTGGAGAGTCCTGCGTTTTTCATTTATTCGTTTCCCTGCTGCCGCTTTTTGTTTGCCATTGGCAAGGGGCCGGCACAAACATTTTCGTCTGCCAAGGTGCAAAAAATTGTGGCAACATCAAGAGTCAGCCAAGGCGGCTAAAAATTAAATTCCGTTCAGAAAAAAGTCGAACCTTAAATGCTCTTTAATATTTGAGAAAAGTTTAGAAATTGTTGTAAGCATAAATGCTTTAAAAAAATTGTAAGGTGATAAAACAAGACTTTCGGACTTTGGCAATTGAATAAAGTTTTTTATTATGTATTTCAAACAACCTTTCTTAAAAAGAAATATTTGAATTGCAAGCAACTAAATAATATTGAATTTCTATACTTCACAAGCCTCTACATTTGCCATTAAAAAAAGAAGAATTATTTGAAACTGCCTTTAGTGTCGGAGCCAAACAAAGCATATTTCTGGCCA